CGAGGCTCCCTGAGCACCGCCGCCGCCGCCGTCCAAGCAGCGCACTGGGGTTCCCAGGCTCGCCCCGCTCAGGGGCGTCCGAGAAGCCGGGGAAGCGCGCACCATGAAGTCCGTGCTGTTCAGTCGCTTCTTCATTCTCCTGCCCTGGATCCTAATCGTCATTATCATGCTCGACGTGGACACGCGCAGGCCGGCGCCCCCGCTCACCCCGCGCCCCTACTTCTCTCCCTACGCAGTGGGCCGGCCACAGCCGCAGCCCGAGCCGCCGCTGCCCACGATCTATGCCATCACGCCCACCTACAGCCGCCCTGTGCAGAAAGCGGAGCTGACCCGCCTGGCCAACACGTTCCGCCAGGTGGCGCAGCTGCACTGGATCCTGGTGGAGGACGCGGCGGCGCGCAGCGAGCTGGTGAGCCGCTTCCTGGCGCGGGCCGGGCTGCCCAGCACGCACCTGCATGTGCCCACGCCGCGGCGCTACAAGCGGCCCGGGCTACCGCGGGCCACCGAGCAGCGCAACGCCGGCCTCGCCTGGCTCAGCCAGAGGCACCAGCACCAGCGCGCACAGCCGGGCGTGCTCTTTTTCGCGGACGACGACAACACCTACAGTCTGGAGCTCTTCCAGGAGGTAGCGGCCGGCCCTGTCCCATGGGCGGCAAGGGCGGGAGGGCGCCTTGGGGCCCGCCGGGCCGCCCCCGCACTGCTCCTGGGACTTCTGCGCTTTCGAGTTCTCAGTTCTCCGTGAGCGCTTTCAGGACTCCGCGTGGAGTCTCTCCTCGCCGGCAGTGCGGAGCGGCCTCCGCTGGCCCTGGTGGCGGGTGCGGGGGTGGGCGGGCGACGGAGGGGACCGCTGTAGCTCAAGAGGAGGGAGTCTGCTCCGGGGCTTTGCTGTCTCGAGATTGGGCCAAGTATAATAGCTCAGGGATGTGGCGCGGGCATGCTTTCCGGAGACCGCTCTGGTGGGCGGGAGGATGGAGACCAGGCTGGAGAGATCGGGGAGGGATGCCGCACAGGAGGCGGCTAGGCTTGTTGGCTACGCTCCCAGGACTTTTAGCCACACAGATGTGATTCTGAGTCTAGAACCTGATAGGGCGGAAGGTGGAGATGGTGACTGGAAGTCAGCCTGCAGTCAACTTTTCTTTCATAAAGTCAGCCCCTGGCACAGACAGGGTTGATGAAAGCATCACCTTCTCTGGGTATCCTTCCTCCATCTCTTCAGCGCACCCCACAGAAGTCTTTTCTACCCTGGAGATTCTCCTTTTTGCAAGTAAACCCTGTCTGAAAACTGAGTTGTCCTTGTTCTGCCTTGTGGCTGGCTGTACCCCAGAGGATCTTCTGGGCTGCCTGGCTGGTCCCTTTTCCTGACCCTCCTCTAAGGCCTCTTCCTAGGGAGTTAGCCAGGCCTCGCTTGGTCAGGGCCATTGAGTCCTGGTGCTCTCTGTGAGTAGTCTCTGCTGCTGAGATGGCACACGCGCTCCTTTGGAGGGCCACACCCACACCCAGCTGGTCCTGGGTGACAACAGGTGTTTCTTTCGGTGGGTTTGCGTGTGTTGTCTGCGGGTGAGACAGTTGCATGGCTCTGTCAATTTCGTTTCTACCATAAGGATTAGAGTTAAAGAAACGTTCTGTGATGTCCTGTGGGACTAGTGCTTTCTTCTTGGTTTTTTTTTTTTTTTTTTTTTTTTTGGAGAGTTTTTTTTCTGTAGGGCACGTGCGCTTGCCAGAAAGACAGAGAGATAGAAAGCGAGAAATCGAGAAATCATCCCCCCAGGAAGGATGGCTTCACATCAATCCCTTCTCCTCCCTTGTCCTCTCGGGATCTTGGGCACGCAGTCACACGTGCCTGGAGTGCGTTTAAGCCACCGGGTCCGGGACTCCAACTGCGTTCAACTACCTGGGAGTCCAGCGACATAGCCATTACGCTAACTGCTGGTCCCTAGTGCTTCCCTCTTGAAGTTCCTTGACATGTCCCTGGAAGAACCGCACCCAACTCCCTCTCCCTCAAGTGCACTGGGCGTTTACTCAGCAACATGTATGAGCTGGACACTGTGCACTCCTAGGATAATCTGTTTCATAATCTAATACTAGATACTCCCCCCCAATTCAAGTACCCTCCACATTTTCATCCGACTGTCTCCATTTCGATTTCTTAACCTCAAGATAGAGTTACTCTAGACCTTTCCAGTTTATTTTTTGTGTGATTTTTTTTTAAAAACTCCATTTCTCAAAGATAATTGCTGCCTTCATTTCTGTTCATCCTCTTCGCTGTGAATAAAAGGAGCAGTACCTGCTTGCCATCTTTTATTCATCCTGCCCTGTATCTTTCTTTCCATGTTTCTTCAGAGAAATAAAGCAAGCTTGGCCTTGTAGGATGGCCTTCATGGTAAACCAAGATTAGAGATACATCCAGTTTTTAAAGTTGGGCTTTTATTTTGATCCTGTTTGGGTACTCTTTTCTCCAAAGAAATGGCTTGTATTCTGAAGCAAATATCTTTTGAATTTCAATTCACCATTTTAAACCCCCTCCTTCTATTACAACTTGGAAATGTGAAAATGTAAGATATTGTTTAAGCAGAATAATGTACATCACTGTTAACCTTTTAGGGGGCTAGATCACGAAGGGGGTGATTTAGTTTACTCTCAGCTTTTCAAATGCTGGCGCGAGGTGTTGGTGAGTGGAAGAGCTGGCACGTACAGGCATGAACAGTCTTCCTTTGATGGAAGCTGAAAGGGGGGTTTGTTGGTGGGGGATATTAAGCAGTGGGAGAAAAATCAAGTAGGTTTTTTATTGGTCCACGAAAGGGGGATGATAAAACGAAGAAGAGAAGGTAGGGAGAAAAATAGTATTGGCAAAGAGGAAAGGATAAAGGGGGGGAGGGGAATGCAGAACTTTTAGGGCCCTGAAATTTTATGTAATTGGAAGTAATGAATAATCAAAATAAATTTGTCTTCAAGTAAGAGGATGTGCAGCAGTTTTTTAATGGAGAGGTGCGATGTATACACAAGCCAAGACAGTTTTAAAAGCATCGTATGCTTGACACACTTAAACTCCATAGCCCCTGGATGTTCCTTTCAGGGTTTTTATTACTATTTCTCATCCACCACCCTTTCAGCTGCATTGTTTTGGGACAGGTTAGGCCTCTATTTACCATATAGGTATATTGATACCTTGCTTGCCTTGTTACAATTTGCTTATTTCCTATATGGCAAGCACCATTGAACTCATTAGATTAGTAGAATTTATGCATCCTGAGTCACGTGCATCTTCCAGAATTTGACGTTTATTTTTCTTTAAACCTTTAGTTTATTAATGGGTTGGTCTTCAATACACTCGTTCTTGGATTAATGATTCCATGTGGATTACAGTCTAGACATTGTTCTTTTAGAGAAAAAGTAGAACCAGACAAAACATTTAAAAAGTGTAGCTCCTTGGGGGAAAGGGAAAGATCTGTTGCAGGATGCTGTAGGGCTGGGGCATATATATCAGCCCTTTATATTGTGCGTGCACACAGATTAGATTTTAAGTAATCCACCTTAAAGAATGTCCTGAGTCAGGCTTCATCTTTTATTCATAGTGCTTCTAATTTCCATGGTTGATATTAAGGTAGATAAGATAAAAAGAGGAAAACGAACCAGGTACAAATGAGCCCACTAAGTATTGGCAGCAAATGAAGGAAAGTAAGGGATGAAAGGTCTCAAATTAAATTAAAGACACAACAGGCAATCTGTGTTTAATTATTCCTCCCTCGCAACTGGAATGATGCCTTTTTTCCCTCCCATACAGCTAACTAATTTTCAGTCTCTCTTTGCAACTGAGCTATGCCACCAGGAAAGGAGTATTTGCATTGAACGTTCCTGTGTTAACAGCCAAATCCATTTGCAAATGAGGCTTAGTGTGAGTCTAGCTGCAGAAACCTGGCTGTCCACTGGGGACAAAGGTGGTGGGGATTTTTCTGGCTTCAGGTATCTCAACAACTACTCCTGATCTTCCTGTCTCACTGACGGGGTGTTGCACCCAGGATCACAGGAAATCCTGCCTGCCTGCACATCCTATCGATCTAGCTCTGTGGAAAAGCTTATTTGCAAAGGATTTAAGCTGCTTTCAAAAAAAGCCACAACTCCAGATAAATGTGACTCTATCTAGTCATATTTTCAATAACATTATTGAACAGACTTCTATTCTTCACTAGAAAACCTTCAAAGCTTTCCTAAATTTAAAGCCAGTGCTTTTCGGGTGAAATTTGTTTCACCTTTGGAAATCAATGGAATTGAAAGGTTAAAAAATATAGCACTTTCCAGGCAAGAAATGAAAACTGAAAAATTTACTTTTACACTTACTGAGGTAAGACTGGAAGATAGACCAGCTTGAACAATTAAGGGACTCATGAAAAGAATCACTTAATGAGATTGTCTTGAAGGTGTTTCTGGAATGTAATGAACTAAAGAGGCCCCTAGTTTGAATTTTTTTGTTGGGTACCGTTAAGTTCTTATATTTGTGTGCTAGGCTAGTGAAGGAGTTGAGGCTTAATTCTGTCTTGCTTCTTTTTCGACGTGTTTCTATGGTTTCCCAAAACTTTTTCTGCTTCTTTGAGCCGTCATCTGAGGATCTAAGTGTTTACAATGTTTGACACTTTCCTCCAAATAGTTGTAACTCAGTCTCTTTCTTGGAAAGATTCTTGACACTTCCCTTTTTCATCTTGATGCAATTACTTTGCGTGCAAGTAAAGAAACCTAGAACGTTCTCTTAGGTGTAACATAAAAAAGACTATTTTACCTGAAATATGCCCCTTATCTTTTATTTCTCCTTGTCTGAAAGCATATTAATGGTCATGCCATGGACCTGAAAAAATGTGAGAATTTTGTAAAATGAGAATATAAAACTACAGCCAATTTTCATGGACTAAAAATGTTAAATCTCTAAATTTCTTTATCCTTCCAGGGTACACAGTACTTGAATTATGGGTCATTTTAGGCAGTTTTGTTTGGAGACCAGTTTTCATTTCAATTTTGATATTTTAATGGGCCAGAAATAACAATTCGTGTTTAAAATATATTCTTCCTTCTGCGTCTTCCTATTATCTTTTCTGTCACTCTTTGCCCCGCAACCTACTTTTTGCTGTTTATTCTCTCTCCTAATAGACACGTCGGACCCATTGGTGCACTGAATGTGAGTCTTTTAAACGTTTGGGCTGTTGTCTGCTGCTGCTTGGGGACTATAATGAGTGACTCCATTTTCTTCTATACTCCACTTGCCTCTAAATTACAAACTGGTAAATTTTCTCTTGTGTGAACAGCAATGGAATAGTAATTGCTTTTAAGACAAGCTGCAAGAGCAGAATAGACTGACCAAAGTCAACAGTCTTATTTATTAGCTCTCCCAGGTGATAATCAAGTTGTGTGTGTGTGTGTTCACAGAATTCAGTCATGTTCAGGTATGTCCATTCCAATCTTTTAGGCGCTCATGGAATATTTGCCCAGTCTGTCTAAATTAAAATAACACATGTATCGTACACTTGATTTGTGATGCGGTTGAAGCATGAAATATAAGTTTACGTGATTCTCACATTTTCCCCCAATATACAGATTGTTATACTAGTGCACAGATAGGTCAGCTAGGTTTAAAATAGA